TATTATTATTATTATTATTATTATTATTATTATTATTATTATTATTATTATTATTATTATTATTATTATTATTATTATTATTATTATTATTATTATTATTATTATTATTATTATTATTATTATTATTATTATTATTATTATCATTATCATTACCATTATTATCATTCTTATTATTATCATTATTACTGCTACAGTTATTGTTGTTATTACCAATAATAATAACAATTATTATCATTGGTCTTATTATTATTACTATGATCGAAATTTGCATTACTTTATTTGATAATTTAATGTTGGTTCAAAACGATAACACAAGAATTGATAGCATAATAAAATTCTTAATTTATTTGATGAATGGTACATATTTGATTTGGAAGTATATTTTTAGGTATAATGATTATATATTATTTATACACAATAATCCAATTTTGTTTGAAATAATAAATTACGTTTCTTCCCTCCCTTTTTTTTTTATTCATTAAGAAAGATAAATATGAAACGATAATAATATGGATCTTATCTTATCTTTTAATCAATAATTTCGTTTTCTTTTTTCCTTTTGTAACACCCTAAATGTACGTCTTTGTTATAATGGTAAAAAAGAAAAGAAGGAATAAATAAAAACGTTTAAATAATCATAGCATAAATAACAATATAATAAAATTATTAATAAAACTAAAATAAATTAAAGGAATGAACAAAATACTTTTGAAAAAATGAAATAATTGAAAACATTTTTCATGAAATAAAGTAAAAAAAAAAAAGTAGAAAAAGGAAGTAGGAAGCCTACCAATTTAAGCATCCAATAATAATATCACAATTTTTCAATTCAATTGGTTAAAAAAAAAGGAATGAAGAAAATGTAATGGAAAATTTTTTCATTTAGAATTTTCTTATTGAGAATTTAAGATTTAAATAGGAATAAAAATCTGTTAGATAGGAATAATTTGCTATACAAATATTTCGCTTTTTTTAAATTCCTCTTTACATGCTAAATGAAATCAATCATAAAGTTGAATGATATTTCATGTAATTATTTAAATAAATGATTTCATATTTCAAATAAAATGATATGATATAACATCATGATAAAGTGATAGCAGATAAGCTAACATGTTGTCGCATTGTAGCATCGGCAATAGGTGTGACACCATTGAGAAGAACAACCTGAAGTACTCGTCCGGCTACAACACTTGTATCCCAATATTTATCCCATTCCGGATACATTGTTTTCCGCTTTTGTATCAAACGTTTCTCACCTAAAATTATATTTTAGTAATGGAGAAAAGAAATGACCGATTTCATACTGTAGAAATTTTTGATATTGATATATATATATATATATATATATATATATATAT